TTATCTTTTTAGAAAGGAAATATACAAAATATAACCAGCATTTCTTATTTCCTTCACTGCTACATTTAAATTGCTATTGTGATTCACACAGTATAGAATACGAGTGTTTCCTCTCTGGAAAGCAGAAGGATGTGCTGTGTGCAGAGATTTCTGATTTAATAAATGAAAGGATGTGAGGCATAGAACAGATTTGACACATTCCTACCATGTCACCATAAGGATTTAATTCTGAAGCCCTACCTGAATAGAGGCAAAGTAACTCTCTGCTTTACTCAATCCCATCACACACACACACACACACACACACACACACACACACACACTATTATTTTCTGTTTTCTAAGGCCCTGTCTTAGAAATGTTCCATAAAGGCAAGCCAGTCTCCACTGGGAGGTACGCACAGCCTTGGAATGAAATGCAGCCCGTTTCTTCATTCACCACCACTCTTGCAGCCAAGAAGGCCTCTTCTACAAGGAGCGTGGTATTACCTTGAGTATTTACCAGCACCATTATTTTTCATTCAGTTTGACAGAGATCAAAACAACTCTTGTGTTGCCTAATCAAAACTCACGCACTCCTGAACTGAGGATGGACAGCAAACTTCTCCATCCACATGTTCCTCCATATTTTAGGTTAACTCTTGAGTTGAAAAAGTCATGCCTAAAATGAGTACAGTGTCAAGTTCAAAATGCCATGGATAAAACGGGTAGAGTGTCAAATCTATGGCTCCTTTGCAGACATATGGGCCTGGCTAGTGGGTGCCAGGCATCTGAAATATTGCGTGGGATATAACAGAAACAGAGGTATAAAAGGATTGCTGGTAGTGATATTAAATACCAGGGATAAGTCAGTTACAGTTTTTACAGAACATGTAGCATACAACGTTTCCCTGGGGAACAATGAAAATTAAAAAAAATATTTTGCATGATTGTTATACATATGTTCGGCTTTATATTGTCATACTAATCAACTTTTTCCAAATTATATTATTTCAGAAGGTATTTAATTGACCTTATAGTTGTCTATGCTTGGCCCAGGAAAACTGGCCCATGACGAGGAAAGTAATGTCTATTGACAATTCATCAACAATAGAAGTGGCTCTTTCTTCTGTTAGGGATACATACTCAGCTTCAGTGTTTCAAAAGGGAAATATTAGCAAGGAATTAGCTCCATTTTAACATGGGAACATAGGGTCCATGCCAATTTAACAGAACATTCGATCTATGAAGCAATTTCTCTCACATGCTTTTAGGAAGCTGTCACAAACAGAGTGGCACACAGCATTATGTCACTGCAACTGGCAACAATGAGATGCAATTGGGCATTTCTATGCTAAGTGAAAAATCATACGCAAGAAGAAAGACATAACATTTTCACTCATTTGTGGCAGTTATCATATATAGAAATATACCTCTAGTGCTACCTATGATTATTCAAAAATTCACTGTATATGAATGAAAGGCACTGAATCAGCATCTATCATAGGTGCAAGGCAGGCATAGCTCAGAGGGAAAAACAAACTTGGGAATATTTTACTTCCTTATCTATATCTCAGTTGCCCACCATGGGAGGAAGGCTTATAAGTCAAATCTCTTTGAGAAGAGCTATCCAAAATTACCTGGCAATCTTCCTGCATGTACTTTCTACATTTCTTTCCTTTGCTTTTAATAAATTATTTACATAAGGTGAGTGTTTTGTATATCACAATATAGATTTAGGAGCACGCTGATAATTCACACACATACACACCCCACATGACCCACCCACATTCCTCCTACATTTCTTTTTAATTTGAACTACGATAGCATACATTTAATTTATAACTTCAGGCTTAAATAAATCCTTTAAAAAAAAAAGATACAGTGAAGACTTACAACAAATAGATTACTCAGAGGCTAGAAAAAAAGTCAATTGGAAACTAATCACATTTGTGTGTCTTTCAGTAATTTACCTGTTCTCTATTCCCCTCACCGTAAAATGGAGATTAGAATAATCAAATAACTACCTAAGGATAAGATGAGAAAACTTGCCTTTATCATGTTGCAGCGATATGAAACAACCATCAAAGTTTAGCTATTATTATACACATTATTTAAAAAAAATAGTATATCTGAAGACAATGAAAAACTAGTATGGTACTTAGAAAAAGGGTGTACTGTTTTTATTATTTCAACTCTATGTCCAATTTTAAAATACACACAGAGTACCAGATGAATGATCACTCGCTGATAAATACTCCTCTGTCAGCTATGAGCCTTATTCTTAGACATCACACCACACACAAGTTAAAACATCATTTCAAACATGGATTAAACTAAGCAATATCTCACAAAAAGATCTGAACAGTTGAATGGTCAGAAGTCATTACAGTGTTAGCAGGGAAAAAAAGTCTCCTAAATCAGAATTGGGAGTTAAACTCTTTAAAATTTCATCCATTTAAGACAAGTGGAAATATATCACAATATATGTGAACGGAAATTTGGCTAGTTGTGGATTCAGTTTACATGAAACAGACTACCAAAGTCTAAAATTCAGCTTTGTGACCTTATCTGCTCTGCAATTGAACACATAATGTTTTTGTTCTACAGATGCCCCGGAGGTAGCACATGGTGAGAATGTTGGGATGCCCAGCTTTTGCAAAACACAAACTGTGTCCATTTTCAAAGAATTATCATACTGTGGAGTTGTAAATACTTTTCTAGCATATACTAGTTACAGCAAACCATCACCTCAAAGTCACTCACAGGATGCAGCAGAAACCTACTTCAGATAAATTCAAAGTGTGTCAGTAGCAAGTTGGAAAGTAGTCTCACACAGAGCTGGAAAAATCTGTGACGAAATCAGTAAACTTATCATCCCTCAGGTGATGCTCAGTATCACTCATCTTTTGTTCTACTTCCCACGGTTTTTTCCATATCTTTCCCAATCCTAACTCAGTCAGTTAGTTCAATATGCCACTGCTAGTAGTTCTGAATCAGGTGCAAATTCTGTTCCAACCTAGAATTTTGTGTAAAAATAACCCACTAACTCTTCTCAGAGTGTATGAAGAAGAAGAAGAAAAAAAACATTCGTTCTGCCCCTAAACAGTAAATCAGGTTTCAAAACTGATGAAAAATATCTTCCCAGCTAATTAGCTTTTCTATATCAAGATCTATTTTTCTACCCAGGCTATCACTCCATTTCCATCTTTTCAAACCCTGTGATGTTCTGCAGACAGCATACGCCAGTACATAAAAGCCATTAGGCAGTTACTTGACAAATTGCTCCCCTTTATTTATGCACAATCTTTAGCTTGGCAGAGAGGTTTCCTTCTGCTTCCTATTTGTTCTATGAATAAAATTTCCCATTTAACTCCAGCTCAGCACTGGCCACTGTGACCACTTGGGGAGTGAACCAGCGGGTGAAGGATATTTCTCTTTGTTTTTCCTTCTGTCTGTAAATCTTCCTTTCCAATAAAAAATAAATAAATAAATAAATAATTCTTTAAAGATTTAAGTTAAAAGAAAAAAAGTGTAAATTTAAAAAAGCATAAGTTTGGCATAAAGCAAAATAAAGGAGAAATATCCACCAGAGAACAACAAAATATAGATCAAACTATTTTTTTCTGCACTCGTTTTAAAAATTTGACTTTGTTTCCTGTACACTTTTCACATGACAATCCATTATTAACTTCATAATTCTGCTTATTTTATTTTAAATAATTCTCTGGTCTTACATAAAATATGTGCCACTTCAAATTATTTCCTTGGAAACAGATTCCCTGAAGCTCAGTATGACATAGAACTGGTTCAGGTCAATGTATGTATAGATAGATACAAACAATGGCATGCAAGCACACAAACATATGTACATAAAGATGGATATACCAAGGGTTTCTACTTCTTTTCCTTTCTATGTACTGCACAAATATTGTAAGACATATGTAAATGTATGCTTTCACTATCATATTTTATACCAACTCTATTTTAGAGTTTTCATCAATTTCATATATTTAAAAGCTTCAGTCAATTTCATCTAACCAGCTTAACTGATTTTAACTGTTTTAGGTTATATATATTTTTAAATACTTCCAATCTGTTATATTTTATGGGAAGAAACTGGTGAATTACCTGTTTATATCTTTTGTCCATTATTAGGCTATGTTCCTTATAATGTCTTTAAATGGCATTAAATTTTTTGTTTTTGTTATAAATGTTTACTAGTTACCCACTTACATGTCAACATTTTTATGATACCCCACAAAATTCTAGAAAAACTTTGATAATCCGTTTTATAAGTGAAATGTTTAGAACTACTCTCTCAATTTCCATTTTAATACAAGAATCATTTATTTTTCCTCAATCATCATTATTTTTTTATTGCATGTTTTTATCTGTGATGGATGGTGACAAAAACAAATGATTTCCTAAATACACTTCAGGAAGTCCCACTATTCCATGGCTTATATTTATCAAGGCTAAATATTTTAGTAGTTATGGTTTTGCATATTTTAATAACTAACTTTAATAACTGATAGAGCAAATAGTATATATTTCACTAGCTCTGGCAAGTTTTAGAAAATTGAATTTTAAAATTACTGCAAACATTTTTATTACTATCAGTAAATCATTGTAGCTTCATATGTATATGTGATTGCTATAATCAGAGAAAAATGTACCAGCAAACCTGATAATAAAACATATCATTAGAACTGAAATTATGTAGAAATCCGTTATTCAGGAAGTCTACTACCAACCATAACGTCACTTGCCTACTAATATGTCATGCAGAAAAAATTCATGAGAGTATTGTCATGTCCAAAATTATTTTTGACTCCTTACTAATAACTTTGACATATTTATCCACCAAAACCCCAATCATTACATACCTGCAGCTTTGGAATTCCATCTTATTTGCCTCTCCCATGCCACTTAGTATTTAGCACCTGCCATTCTGATAAACTTCAGGTTTAATTAACGTGATGAATATTCCCAAGTATTACCATTTTTCCACGTAATTACCTTGTGAAATCTGTCATCTCCATCATGATCATACACATCTTCTTGGCCAAAACGATGATGTCATTGCTTGTATCATCCCATATCTCGATTTCTGCATCCAGTTTGCTCTTGACTTTCTTGAAATCAGCAACTTGCTCAGCAATCTTTTCCTTTTCTACATCAGGCAGCTGAGTCATTTTAGCCTGAAACATGAGATAATTAGATTTTAAGTCATTCCACAATCTCAGACAAATTTTAGGAACTGGTCATTACAGGACATTCATAAAATGTGTTCATTTAAAATGAGAGACAGAAGGATTTAAATCATTTAATCAAAACTTAGTGGGTTTATTTTTTTAAATAATATATCTGCCAAATTATAATTATTTTCTCTAGAATCATGTTATATTTGAGAATAAAATGTAGAATTTGGAGTCTGAAATACATAAATCTAATCCATAAAATAGATGTGAGGACTTGAAAATTTCTAACCCGTGAAAATCTTACATTAATTCCTATTCAATGCAATTATACACTTGTAAGACATGCACATATACATTTAACTAATGTTACATTTTATAAGGCAACATTTTAACAATATTTAATTTGAAATGAGTCTAGGTCTACCTATGTATGTACATATACAGATTCCTTACATAAATACTGGATTTACATTGGTCAATGGCAAGCGCATATATTTACAAATCATATGTGCACATATACAGATGTCTGTGCATTCATATGAGCATAAACAAACACACACATATAGACACACATACATATATATAAAGCATGTTTTGTATGTATAAACACATTAAGATGAATATATGTATACAAACTCTTCTATAGGAGAGTAAAACTGTCATGGGTAGTATTTATTAAGTTAGCTTAGTCGCACATTGGCATCTATTCTTCCCTCCAGAGTAATTTAATCTGTATTACCTTATGCTTTCAATGTGTTATATTTGAACAGTAAGGCATACCCATCTTCCATTTGAAATGTGGAATATGGGATGGATAAACAGGAATCCATATGCCTAAACTACAATACATACACACCTTGGCCCTTTGGACCTAGCAATTTTTGTCAAAGAAGACTCTTGTCACAAAGATGGCTATAAGATTTCACAAGTTTTACCATGTAATTAAATCATCAGAAAGAAATTGCAAATATATTGTAACAGTAGAATGAATGCACAGGGTTTAGAGGATGAAAAGAAGCATTTAGAAGATATATTAAGTAAGTGAAATGTACTATTTAGAGGGAGAAGTAAGAGCAAATCAGTTGATAAAGCTTTTCAGAGCTGAACATTTGCTCTAGCTGCCAAGATACTGGTAAGGATCCTGTACCTATATTAGGGTGCCTGGGTTCAATCCCAGGATTCAGCTCCTGATTCTAGCTTCCAGCAAATATGGATTCTTGTGAGGCAGTGAGGATAGCCAACATAGCTGATTTCCTACCACCTAAGTACTAGATCTGGATTAACTCCCTGCCTCCAGCTCTGACTCCTGGCCATCACAGGCAGTTGGGTGCTAATTTTGGATGCCAGCATGGCAGGCAAAGGTGGACTCCGCTGCGTCAGAGCACCAGCCCCCAAATTCAAAATATTTACAATATTCTAAGTATGATGCCAAGAGTACCGAACAAAATTTTTTTAAATCATTTATGTACAGTAGAAAAAGAAATAATAAAGATAAGGGAGAAAGAAACCAAAAGAATGGTTACTTTGTATATCTTTTGATATAGCATGTTGTACTTCATAAACATGTACAACTCATATTTCAAAGCTGTTTAAGATATGGATATGCTATCACATCTGATTTGTTCATCACATACTGAATTTCTGCATCAAATTATCACATCTTTCCAATATATGAAATTTAAATTATAAGATAAAATAGTCAAGAGAAAAATACAATAAGAAATAAAATGAAATATCAATTATCTGATACTATGTTGCACCAAGGTTCTAAAATAGAATCTGTAAGACTCTCAGGACTAATTATATCTTTACCTTAATATAATAAGAAAAACATAAGGCTTTCTGATTCACAGTTTCTTTAAAATTTATAACATAATAATGGAAAGAAATTGAATGCTCAATAAAAGACAGCGATTTCTTATTCAATAACAACATCTGCTAAAGTATGTTCACGAACCCAGCATGTTCGCTAAATCTTCTTTAAAGGATCAAATTAAGTTGTATTAGACTTTTAAAAAAATGCACTATGCAAATACTCTTCCTCAGCATCTGAGAATTGTTTGTAGTTTTTTCTCTAAGATAATGTGCCTTACCTATGCAACAAAAGATCAAAAGAGATTACTTTACTATTTATAGTAAAAGACATGTAAATGAAAACACAGCTCAGTAATTTTGAAATAAAAAATAACTTATACGCATATTCAGTAAATTATAAGCTATGAATGCAATAACTAGTTCACTACTAAAATGAGTTTTCCTGATCTTGACAACAGGACACTATCATTCTCTTGCTCTTAGAAAAATGTTTAAACTTTCATATGTTAATCACTACAAATAGGTTCAACTTGTCTCCGTACATTCTACGTCACAGGGTTAATAAATCTACACTTTTGGATCCAATAAAAATGTTGAATTGTAACTCAACCAATGTATATGCTGGTACATCCTAGAAAATCATTCACTAAATTCATAATAAAACTATTCAAGAGGTGATCTGGTAAGGTGTATCCTGAATTGGGTTCCTTGAAATGTCACCGATTTCCAATATAACCTTGAGGAAGCCAATTAAGCTTCTTGCCTAATTGTCCCTTGACACAAAGTGACAATACTTGCAACTGCTTACCAACAAGCCAAACAGTGACGAGCCGATTATTGGATAAAACTGAGACTGACCCTGTTGTAGAAAGGAAACTCATGAGTTGTACTCGATTTCCTTAATAACATCTCAACTCACATAGTCAGCTGCAATCAACACACATTATGTCCAATTAGACAAGGGCCAGAAGTTGAGCAATAGCTTGAAAGATTAAAATTTTCAAGAACTTGTTTTCATTTTAATTTTCCACAGAGAGCGACCACCGCATAATGCTGAACTCTGGACTGATTCTTTCACAGGAGGTTTGAAGTTCTTTCAATGATTTGTTACATGTCATTAATCAATTTCAATCACAATGAGAATCGCAACCCATGCTTCAAAAGAACACATGGTGTCTGGGAGCATTTTAATGTCACCTGCTGTTTTTCAAGCAAAACTTTTCCCTTCCTTTAGCCTGTTACACACTTTCATACACACATTTCATTTGCATTTTTTAGTATAAAAAGAAGTTAATACTGTTTTTCTGCAAATGCATGATAATAACGTGTATTTTTGCAACTCATGTCATATAAATGTCATGTTACTCAAACCTGGTATTATAGCGCAAGAGCACACATGAGTACTATGTAAATAAAGTAGCATATGTCCCTATTCCAATAAAATTTATTAAAAACCACTCAGTTCACATTCCACTTAATTTTCATTTGTCACAAGTATTATAATGAAGTATAATTAAGATTTTTTTTCAACCATTAAAAATGTTAAGACTAACCTTAGCTTATGGGCTGTACAAAATAGGCAGCAGGCCAGATTTGCTCTGTTGGTGGTGGCTTGCCAACATGTGCACTAAAACTTTCCAACAAACAGAAATCACAGAATGTCTTGATTTTTTCCTTCAGATTTCAATATCTTTAATTCATAATAATTGAAATGGCTGAGAAAGCATTAACTGAATGCTTTTCATCCATGCCTTTTCTGTAGTCTAATATTTTATGTATTTTATGTATGATAATACATCACGCAATTTTAGCTTCTTCATCCTCTTTCACACTGAACTCTTCACCTTGACTCCCCTTTATATCCAACCACTCCCTGTCTCGGAATGCTGCCTTCCCTCGCTCTCAAGGGAATCACTACTATCCTTCAATTATTTTCAGTATCTTCTCCCTTAATACACTCAAATAGTTTCTTGTTTTGTTGACTTAATTTTACTTTCACCTTGACAGAAGACAAGTCATGTGTTTACATAGTATATATACAGTTCAGAATATACAACTTAATGGTGTTCACTCATGAAAAAACTCAAACTCTGTCATTCAGTAACAACACAAATGAACCAAGAAGACATTGTGTTAAATAAGTCAGGCACAGAAAATAAATACTAAGCACTCTTACTTACATGTGGAATCTGAAAAGCTTGACCACAGAAGAGTGGAAGGGTAGTTAAGCAAGGGTTAACATGGAGATGAAAGTTGGGGAGATGTGGGTCAAAGGATACCACATTTCAACGAGACAGAATTTTTTCAAGAGAACCTCTCTCTCTCTCTCTTTCACCCAAAAGCTAAATATGTGAGATAATACATATATTCATTAGCCAGATTTCGACGCTGTGCAAACATAGGTGTCCCATCTTTCATTGATAACTTCAAATATCAGTGTTACAAAGATGACTTTAAAACTCTCCAATCCTGACCTTCCTTAACCCATTACATGTTCAGCAATAATACAGGGATGCTAAGGCACCTATCCACAGAACTATGGAAGTCAAATTTAGTCAAATCACTTACTACCCTGATTTTCAAGCTTAACAGTGATATCGCCTAATAACTCATCTTAGAATTTCATTTTAAAATCTCTTTCACTTAATTCACCTTACACTATTAGGAGCAGATGCTTTTTTCCCATTTCATCTTAAACTTTTATCATGTCCATCTTTGTGTTCCAATTCTGGCCTTAATTTCCCTTTTTATTTTCAACCCTTTTTTCTTGCTATTGCTAATATCTATCTTTGTGAATTCAATGGAACTGTGCAATTATTCAGCTACAAAATTTCCATAGATATCTCCTTATAAAAAAATTCTGAATTAAGATTATTTAATTAAAGCAGAAATCATGTATCAATGTGTCATAAATTTAGTTGTAAGATAAACTAATTAAATTTATCATTGTAAATTATAAATTTAGCTGTTGCTGTTTTCATAAACTGAGAGAACTCTATAGCTAGTGCTAAAATGAAGAATCAGAAGATTGGGAGAGATGTTGAGGCACAGTGTATTAAGCTGCTGGTTGAGATTTCCACATTTCGTACCATGATGCTGCTAATGTACCCAGGGAAACAGTAGGTGAGAGGTTAGATGCCTGAGTACTTCATTCACATGGGAGATCTGTATGGAGATCCTGGCTC